GCCATACAGACCGCCATACAGACCGCCATGCAGTCTGCCACTGTTTTCCCTCCCCTATTCCTTCGTTCTTTCCTTCCTTCCTTCCTTTCTTCCGTTCCGTTTCGTTCCTTCCATCATTCGTTCGTACTCTTTCACTCGTTTACTCGCATTTACGAACCAGTTTCTAAAACTTTTACGCATCGACGGTATCGAGGTTCCGCTGTCTTGCTACCTGTAATTACGTGTGCCACCTTTCTCCCCCTTTCTCCCTCCTATCACCTCCCTATCACTCCCCACCACCCACTTCCCTTCTATCTACTCTTTTCGAAAGCACACTATATGTATTTATGTATCTATACACACACACAATTAGGTATAGATATAATATGTATGTGTATGATTAAATGTATGTATTATGGGAGTGTTAGTAAAATACATTTCCTGAAGTAATGGAAGGAAAGAAGATGTTCGAAGAAATGAGGGTAAACAACAGTGAAAAAGAGAGAGAGAGAGAAAGGAATAAAGCCGGATTTTATAAAAAAAAACTGTCGAGGCTTACTCGTTTAACTGGTAATTAACAACCGTTCATCAATTAACAAACTGGTGTTCGTGAAATTCTTCGTTTCGTACCTCTCTCTTTTTCCTTTTTCTTCCTTTTTTTTTGTTTCAGTGAACACATTGCGTATAGGAAGGAAGGAAGGATAAATATGTATTAAGTATTGTTTGTCGATCGTTAAAAATTGATATTATTTAATGAGACAACATTTGTCAGATAATGATTAATGAATATCAAATTATATGTGTCGATTAAAACAATGAATTATCTAGCTTAGAATATGTGCAATGTCTCTTTGAAAAAGTATCAACGTTTAAGAAATAATATATTACCTGGTGAGAGTATAGTTGTAGGTAAAGTAGTAAGCATGTCGATGATTTATAAACGATCGTTTACATACAAACGTGGTGTACGTAACAATGACTTTGTTTCTGATGCAATCATTGATAAATAATTAATGATTAAACTCCGTTCTTTCGTATAATGTCTACGAATAGAATTTTCATATTGAAAATTTGAGAGATTGAAATGAAATGAAATGAAAGAAATATTTAATATTAAAACATATAATACATATTAAAATATAATATTAATAATTTATATATATAAAAAGGTTTGTGTGATTATAGGAGGGTGTAATATACATGAAAAAATTCGAATTAATAATATGACCGAAGTAATTCTCTTTCTCTTTATCTTTATCTTGAAAAAGGTCTAAGGTGAAAGCACTCAAATTTAATGGAGACATCCTACTACCCATCGTGAAACAATATTTTCCCTACGCCGATAAAAGCTTCCCGTGAAGCCATAACGTTGGTACACGAGCTATATGCAATTATTGTTGCGGTATTGGTTAGTATCATGACCATGACGATGACGATGACGAGAGGTGATTCAATTTTCTGTCGGCTCAAAACACGAAAAGTTTTTCATCTTGTAACGTTAACGAGCTTTCTCTGTTGATAACAAATTAATTTCCTCTTGGTGCAACAACGAATTTATTTATTTTATTTATTCGATTAATATACGAGTCTCCTCTCTCTCTCTCTCTCTCTTTCTCTCTCTGTCGTTTTTTTTTATTTATTAATTAATTCATTTATTTACGAGAGATATTCTCTACAAATATTCTCTAGATATTTGTGAAATGTTCATTAAAATAATAATCCAGTCGTGTATATATCCGTGTAAAAGTGTGTCGATATTTAAAACGAAATTACGTACGATTTAATATTCGCAGGTATTCGTCTCGTGAAAGATAATATTTAATTAATTATACAAACACAGTGTATATATATATTTAGGAACGTTATACGTGCGTTCTTCGTTTTTTCAAACTAATCGATAATAATAAATCCTACATAACTATTCACAACGATCAATTTGGAAAGTGAACATATTTCTTTTTTTTTTATAAATTGAACATAATTTAAGAAGAAATTTGGTAAATGATGATCGAATGGATAATTCAATGGATGAAAAAAAGAAAGGATCGGTGAGGTTTTGGTGACGGTGAAAGTCGTCGTTGATAGATAACTATCATAATTAATATACTTAAATATATACATATATACATATACATATTTGTAATTATATAAATTAATATATTAGCAATACACACATCGATTGATTTTCGTTTAAATTAAAACGACGCGTGGAGATTCGAAAAAAAAAAATATGAATTTTTGGTTTTTTGTTTTCGACCTTGGTCGACGATGCCAAGTGGAAAGCGCATAAACCAAGGTGTTTGTGTGCTCATTGATGAGTGAAAGCGACGATCACACGACGATACAATGTTGGAATCGTTATGATTTCCTATCGAAATCGAATGGCATTGCGAAAACGTGTTACCTTACCTACGTGTCAAAGAATAAAAAAAAGGAGACACTTTCGTAAAACGTTTTTGCAAAAAATAGTATCAGAAGAATGATAAACAAGTTCGTTGCGAAATATTCAATCAAATTTTTCCTCACGAAAGTATCGGACGACAAAGATTAGTGTCAATTTATTCATTTTTTACACGTGTATTTTATCGTTCAATTGAAAACACTAGACACCATGAGTATAATACTTTTCTCATCAATACAAATCTATCTTATTTTACGAAAATAATTACAAAATGATCTGTTCATTGTATTAATCTAACTTAATTGGTAACACACACACAAAGTATGATTAGTAATAAACACTTATTTCAAAATTACCTGACAACTTGGAATAACGCGTTAAACTAATTATCATTAGATCATAATTTATCAATGATTGAATAATAAAAAAATCGTATTGCATAATAAAAAGAAAAAAAAAATATACAGAAAAGGGAATATTACAACCCTACTACTCACTTAGATGATAATAAAAATGACATATAAATGTAGAATAACAATAATAACAATTAAAAGTATAACCAAATGAAAGAGAAACAGAGAAAAAGAGAAAGATAGTGAAGCCACGCCGATTTTCCACCGACGTAAATCCGATTATAGTTGAGCGAGCGTAACGCATAAAACCCTTTAGCATACCGATCGAGTATGGCCGCTTCGTAACGGCTGCTAGTATACGTTCTGCAATAAATTTATGTCGCCAAATAAGTAATTTGTTCCATAAGCGAATGCTTTCTCTCGGTTCTAGGAACTTTAGAGAAATATTCCCGGCATTTCTTACGATCATTGCTTAGAGACAGAATAAGAAGATACATTTTCACATATATATATATATATTAAAACGTCTTTTCTATGTTAGATGATATTTGTTGGTGGTAACGTATATACGTCGCGTACAAATGCACATTCGCTTCCGGTGAGAGCTTGCAGCTGCATTCATTCTCTCTTTCTTTCTCTATCTATCTATCTTTCTTTCTCTCTCTCTCTCTTTGAGTACAGGAGCTCGTGCGTTTAAAGGCATCACGCATTTCGATTCGTTTATGGGAATGAAAGTCTGAGGGATCTATCGAACGTAAGTATACTTCGCGTCCACTTTGCTTTTTTCTTTTTTTTTTTCATGTTTCTTTCTCTCAAAGAGAGAACACGTCGATTCGTTGTGTACTCCAAGAGAAACAGAATGAAAGAGAGAGAGAGAGAGAGAGAGAAATTGTAAAACGGATGTCGGGATTACGCACGGTACTTTGATACCAACGATCGTTGGTAAGTGCCATTATTTTGCAACGTCACGAGGAAGATATCGAGATCGATAGGATCGATAGACACACGCCAAGTTAAAGAAAGGATAAAGAAATTCTCTCATTGGTAGATGAAATGAGAATTTAAAAAAAGAATAATAATAATAATAATCATCATCATTTCAATCGATTTTTTCTTAACACCCTTTTGTCAGATCGTGAATAACGTTAAATATCATGGATATCTTTTCAATTGATACATAATTGAATCGAATCAATGGTAAAAGCGTCTCAATACATGAGATAAAATGAGATTTCAATCTATTAGATTTATTCGATTAAATTGTATTATTATTCGTTAATAAAATATATTACTTGAAAATAATTTAAATGCATACGTGTATTACGAGGGATGTGTTAGAATCAATTAGAAATGAAATTATTGCATTAGAGGTCACGCGAAAAATATATTCACCAAGAGTGTTTAAATTATTATTCCAACGAGTTGTTCTAACACCATAAAAATAAAATGAAAAAAGAAGGTACAAGAATAGCACAGAGACGAGAAGGTAAGTGTGTGTTTCACCTTACGCATTACAATGACCATATTCTGCAAAACGTGTCATAGAAACATTCTCCTCCTCCTCCTCCTCCTACTCCTCCTCATCCTCCTACTCCTTTTCTAATCTTCTAACTCATGCCAATAATAATTCCCTCCTACACCCTACCCCCTGCCCACCCCGTTTTGCAGAGCTTTTTCTTTTTTTAATTTCTCTTTTTTTTCTTTGCTAATTTTTTTAATTTATGCTAGAATAATTAATATAATTGTCGATAACGAAGACTAGCAAAGAATACGATCATATTTTTTTTGTTGCGGATGACAATGACAAGGAAACTCGAGGACCGAATACGCGAGTGCAGGATTACACTTTACGCTAACTAGCTTTCTCGGAATTTTAATTCTATTAAGTTGCATTAAACTTACTAAGCATTTTTTTTTTCAAATAAACTACTTTATATGCGAACCATCATTTTCAAATCCGTGAGTATTATATAATATTATTACGTTATTTTAAGTATTAAATTATTGTTATCAATGAAAGAAAAATGAATAACCACGAAGGGATATAAGATTTAAAAAAAAAAAACAAACAAAAAGTAATAGTTTTAATTCGTAATATAAAATGTATCTTTGTATATCTTCTTTTGTATCAGAAATAAACGTATATTTGAAATAATTTCTCTGTGTGATACGTGTCGCACGTATACTCATACACACACGTTGGTATAAACTGATTTAAAAGTAAGATAAAAAATATAAAAAAAAAGAAAAGAAAAGAGTCTACTTACGCTTTTGCTGTGGCTCGTGCTATGATGCGAGTGATGCGTGTCCAATTTCATATTGGCGCAACGATTGAGCGCATGTAAACGCCGAAAGAGACTTTGCAAGGAATCAGTTTCGAGAAAGGGATGATCCTTTGCCACTCCCGTAACGTCGATCGGGAATTGATAGTCTGTGTACAAAAATAAAAAACAAATATTTATTATTATATATTTAGATTTTCGATGCATCTCGAATATTATATAAATTATGCATCCTTTCTAAAAAAAAAAAAAAAGAAAAAACAAAAATCATTTTTCTATCATACATTTTATATTCTCATACGAATTATAATTTCGTAATTTCGGTATATATCGAACGATGACGCAAACAAATTAAAAAAAAGTCTAATACGAATGGAACAGAATTATATTTTAACTATTATTCTTTTTCTTCTTATTTTTTTTTTTTAGTTTTTTTTTTATAGAGAGTTATACCTTTCAACGTATCTATATGGATGTTGGTAAAAGTTTGGACGAAGTTTTGTGTCACGACTTGCGCAACGATGACCTAGATCTCCTGATCCAGATCTTTAAGATCCATGATCTTTGCCCGGGATCCTGGATCGATCCAAGAGGAATCAAAGTAGAACGATTCTACTAACTTTGTAGTATCATACATTTACATATATGACCAAAAATTTGTTCATTATATTCTCTACTTATTATTATTATCATTATTTTAATTATTATTTGATTGGGTAAATAGAATAACCGTGGATGTTTATTTGTATTATAGTTGCATATTGCATATTAAATATTTCGTTGACTAGCCCTGGGCTTATCACAAGTTTCACATAATTACATTTGCATTATTTATTGAGTTAAATAACGCTCCAGGAAAGATCAATGATGTTGTAGTATATATATATGTATATTTGTGTTAGAATGAGATGCGAATTGCATTTTCGTAATTTATTTACTGGGTGCTTGTGCAATGGGGTATATAAAAAATTAATAATAAAAATAAAAATAAAAGGGAGAGAGAGACAAACGCGTAGAATCCATTGGATAAAGTTATAAGTATTACAAATGTGAAAAAAATAATATTTTATTACACTCTCGTTTGATATATTAGAACATAATCGGTACGCTTAATTAAAATACATTTGAATTCGTTTGTGTAAAGTAACACGCGTTTTAATTTTAAGCACGCGACGCGAAAATGAATCGGTCCATTTGCGATATTCCCGATGTAATTCGATAAAAGATAAATAGACTTGGTTTAATCTTCTTTACTTAGCAACTGTGTGCTAATGATCACTTTATATTTCTTTTTTTTCTTTTTCGAAAGAGAGCCTGCATACACACACCATAACCAAACATAACTCCGTGTTAATCTACGATTAAAAACGAGACACAAAAAATATATAAAAAGAAATTACTTTTTTAAAACAAGTAACTGTGTTAACGAAAGAAAATTTTATCCCAATTTTTTATTTTTTGTACCAATAGAGCATTGATAAATATATCGTCATTAAATCGTATCTTCGATTAAGCACGTTTTTCCTTTCTGACCGTGCTAATTATTACCGGATAAATCGTTTTACCTTTAACTAGAGCTCGTCAGACTAGTCCAATTATCTTCATCTTTGATTTTAATCGTAAACAACAAATTCCCCGTCTGTACAAAACTATTCGAAATCTGTAACATGATCTACGAGTTACACAATGAGGATTTGAAAAATGTTAAAATTTATAAAACCAATCCGAAAAAATAAATACGAATTACAACGAATCTTATCGTACTTTTTATACAATAATCGTATATATATATATAAAAAAAAAATAAAAAAGGGAACATTTATAACATTTATAGATCAAACGAAAAAAAACTAGTCTTATCGGGAGTCATAGAAAGAAATCAAACAAGAAGCTCTCGTGGAATAATTACAAGCATCTAAGTTATATCGTTCTCGCCATCTTCTTATCTTGTTATCAGTACTCATATATATATATATATATATACACACACATATAAGCTGGACCGTTCGTCGATCCCAAGAATCGTGTTTTATCTCACAAAGTGGCTTCGCGAGTAACGCCTGGCAATAGAACGCACCCGTGTTTGTAGATATGTGTATGTATGTATATGTATATGTAAGTGTTCCTATCGATTCTTAATAAACGATACACGTTCGATCAAACGTTCGCGTGTAATCGTATTTTATTTATATCGCATGCATTGAGAGTAGGGTTCAACTAGGTCAATTAGCTACTATTCATAGTTAGGTTCGCGAACGTCGATATAGTTGGGCTAACGAGAATTATGATCTTACTACTTTAAGCTGAGATTCTTTCTATATATATATATATCTTTATCTCTCTCTCTCTCTCTGTTGTAAACTATATGACGTTTTTCTCTGTCTCTTTCTAAAACCGGTGCAACTACCATAAGAACCGGTGTACATTTATGCATCTACAAGGATCTTTGAGGCTGACGATGGCAGAAGGACGTTCGATTTTCTCACGCGATCCTTGCAAAGATCGAACTATCTTATAATGTTTCTTATTTTCCAAGAAAAATTATTATTAAATGTATTATTGTTTTTGAAAGATACAAAGAATGATATTACTTATATGTAATGTGTCCTCCGATCTAAAAAAGGGAACATTTTGTTCTTGTTGTCGTCAATAATTCATGCGAAACTGTGACCACCATCGATTGACCATAAGTGATTTAGAATTATTTCGGCATTGTCAAAGAACTTGAATCAGCTGTTCGTTCGTTCGTTTGCTCTACGGTTGGCTTACCTAGTTTCTAACATCTGGGTTGAATTTTGTGATCTACCAGCTGCGTGTTAGTTACATGCCAGACCATGTTTATGAGGATTTTAACTTTACGTTTATGTCATTTTGCCTTAGGCTAACCGTCGAAGAAGACGACATCGTCAAATTATATGTACACACGTTTTATGTTCGTTTCTCTTATACAAATAGAAACAAATGATCATTTTAGATTAATGATTATACTTATAAAACTTTTTATTATAATGTATTATATCAATGTTGAAGATTTCTCCACATTCCTATTGTATTTAATCAAAAATATTTCTTTCTATACAGTGATATGAATATTTAGGAATAAACACAAAAACAGTCTAGCCGATATAAAAATCCACGGTATTGAGATTTGAGCTTAAATTTAAAATTTAAAAAACGATTGATACAAATTTTCGTAAAGATGATATTAAACACAAATCAATCTAAAATGTAGAATTGTAGATTTGATTAAATCATACAATTAGGTTTGTAATAAATGAGTAATTTACAAAGTTCATTGAAATATATTTTCGGTTTGAATTCATCGTGAGAAATATCACACGCTGGTAAGGAATCCGATGACGTAGAGAAGAGGATGATGATCTTCGATAAAACTTTCCTCGAGTAAGTGATTCTATTACGATATCGATCGAATATCATCGAGGATCAAGTGTTTTTCGCAGAAATGTGAATCAACCTACCTACCTACCTACTATACCTACCAACGTAGGTTCGTGAAACAAGAGAAAGAGAGAGAATAAATCTCGCGTGCATCCACACGTGATCTTTTCTCGATCTCGAGATATCGAGATATCGATTGCTTGTTACTACCATCTCATTCTTCCTATTCATTTTCCATCTACATTACATTCATACCAACAAGATTCACGTTATTTCGAATGATCGAGTAATTGTTCATGACAACAGTGTCAAATCTAAACCCTGACATTGACTCATTCAAATCTATTCTTTAATTTCTTCTTTCTCTTCATTTTTTCCTGCTATTTGTTTTAAACACAAGAACAAAAATTAAGAAAAAGAAAGAACAACGTACCAGTTAATTCTTAAATGGCTAAAACGATTGATGTTTGCTTTCGATTCTCTTTCAAAGAGAACGGGATTGGAAAGTGCCCCTACGACATATAAAATCGCAAGTTTAGTTGCTTTACGAGTGTTTTTACGAGTACACCCAAACGATCTATAATACGCGAGATAATCTCTCTCTTTATTTCTTTCTTTCATTCGTTCTTTCTATGACTCTTTAAACTCTTGCACTCGTAATAACTGTCGTATGAGAGAAACGAAGTTTACCTCGAAACAGCTGATCGTTATTGCAACGACAGGAATAATCATATTTTCTAAAATATTCACGTTTGAACAAACAAAATGTTAACTGGCAGAAAAAAGGGGGATATAAAAATCGTGAAATGATATTTTTCAAGATGGTTCGACTGTGAAACAAATGATCAAACAATTTCTTTACAAAGTTATACCGAATTAAAAACCTTTAAATGAATTATAAACGTAATGCGAAACTTTTCCAGTTCTCGTATATCCACTCTTTCGAGTTAAAAAAAAAGAAATCATATTTCACGGTAATGCAATTGGTAAACAATCCCTCTCTGCACCCGAATGTAATAACATTGTTGTTATTATTTGCGAGAAACAAGCGTAATTCGATTACGAAGTCATTCTTGGTACCAATACTACGTGTGTTTCTGAGAGAAAGACCGTTATAAAGTCATCCATTAAGCGTCGAGGGCGACCGGTAAAACGATTTTAATCGAGATTTCTCTTTCTATCTTTCTTCTCTTTCTCTAACATCGTACTTATACGCATACAAAGAAATATACTGCAATTCTACGCGAATCTTTACGAGCCGTGCCCAACACGCTCGATAAATTCGCGAAGGATTGCTTTTAACGCGAATGCAGTACGGAATTTTTCTCACGAATTCGATATATATACACATATAAATACAAACATATGTGTGTGTATATATATAGAGAGAGAAATGGAGAAAAAGTAATGCGAATGACGGTGCCAAGACTGGATCACAGCATGTATCGTGAATTTTGATACAATTCAAGCGTTTATATAACGATCGTGACAGCATCTAATTTGCCACCTGTGCGTATTATTATGAAAGAATGAGATAGATATATATATATAATTTTATATAGATACAATATTCATTAAATTTTGTCTAAATATATTCTTTAATATTGTATAACTTTGTTTTTTTTTCTCTCTCTCTTCTTTTATGTTTTACTAATTTATTTATCTATATATTTATATTATATTTTCTTTATCACACAATATTATATTTATATTATCTTTCCTTTCAATATTTATTCTGATTATTTATCGA